GGAGAGTTCCAGCCAGGAAGAGGGTAGTACTCCAATGTACCCCAAGAAGAACCCCTACCGTGACTAAGCAACATGCTGATCATGTCCTACCTCTTTTACTTCCAGTTTCTCATCTCCTGTTTCCTAACTGCATCACAGCATAGAAGAAAGGAGCTCCGCCTGTTACACAGTCTACTTCCATGCTAGACTGAGTAAAAAAAAATCTAGGAAACAGTTGGTATTAAGCATTTGAAAACATTCTGAAGAAAGTCTCTCCCACACAAAGTATAGAAAGTTCAAAGAGGATGGGGGTGAGAAGTGAGAGCAGGACATGTAAGAGAAAATAGCTAACTACTCCTCCTCAATTCTGTGTTTTACCTCAGGATAGAGCAACATCTTCAAAGCCATCACCATTCAACATATCCTTATACAGCTTTTGTAGAGCTGGAGCAGGGGGGTATAATGCTATATAATTATTCATCTGCAAATGCCTCTCTAAGAAAGAGTTTATCAATGGCCTCTGTAGTGCCCAACTGCCTAATGTGAGGGAAGAGGAAGAGACTCTTTCCTTAAGTAGTGTTTATATCATATTGGGCAAGAACATGCATTATGTCATGCTGTGCTAACGAAGGGCTATATACCACTTGAGATTTTGAAATACATGGCATAGGTAGGCTGCAGAGCATTGGATGGACACTATCCACCACTATTGTACCAATGGTGGTACGAGATTCAGCAGGGTATGTAAGAGGGCACAGGCATGAAAGATTTCCCTTCAGCAAAGGGGGGAAAAAAAACCCAAAAAACTAAATCCAAGATTGCAGCATTATCAGTGGTCCTAGTCCCCCAAGATTGAGTGCTGTCATGTCCATAACCTATCTTACACGGAAGCACACAGTCAACACCCTGGGTCAAGATCATACAGTTGATGACACAATCCTCATCTAAAAGCAGAAGGGCACTGCATAACTAAGTCAAGTGGTGCAGAGAATGAACCATGCCAACAGTGCTAAATCTCTCCTTGTCATATAACCAGTTGGCATCTTTCCCCGAATTCTTATGTGATGCCTGTAGTAATGAACTAAACAAGGAGAGGGCATGCGTCCAAGCTCTGCAGCATGACTGCCCACACCATTAAACACAGAGCACTGCTTCTGGCATGACTTTGGCTTAAGCCAAACTGCACTGTTTGAGACGATGCCCAGCCCTGGTAAGGGATTAACATGTGCCATGGATGCAGCATAACTGCCTGGATGCAGTTATCCTTTTTTGGGGGGTAACAGTATTGCTAAAAGGACATGAGCTTTTACTGCACCAGTTGACCTCTAGGCCAAAACATGGTCCTGACCACACTTTAGTTACTAAAATAGATGTAGTCTTAGGAGCTGTAGGAGGAATTCTAATATCTCTCTAGCTGCCTACAAGCTGAATTATGTATTTGGGTCTCAAAGCTCTTACTGTTTTGTGAAGGTTTCTGTAACAACATGGATTAATATTTCCTTTGGTTGTCCCTTCACAACTCACTTGGAATCACTTCGACTGCTAAGAAGTGTAAGAAGTTCACACTGCTGGTGCTCTTTCTTCATCTTTCTTCTAATGAACTGCAAATTTAAGGGGCTTCTTATCTATTTTTAACTGCTTTGCTAAAACAATGTTAAACTACACACCTGTGGCTTTATTCAGTTCACATTCACTCAAGTGGGAAAAATCTACAAGCTTTTAAATTTGTATTACTTCACAGAAAATATAAGTATCAGCAAGTAAAAAGTGTTGTTCCAGTACAATTCACACACGTTGTACCTTACATATTTATTATGCATGTACTATATTGATGACTGTATATTAACAGATTAAATCAGATTATCTGACGGAGCATGCATTCATTATATCCCTTGATTTATGGAGAAAAGTGTAAAGTTGGTTATCTGATTATAGTTGCATACTTAAAGTAAAGGTTACCACAGATTTCTGAGAAATAAATCACTACTTTAGAGAACTCTGCCAGAATAGTTTTAATTAGTGCTTTGGAGACACTTTGGTTAGGGTATCAAGTTTTAACTTCAGCTCTCACACATTTCTGTAATCCAAATTTGCTACAAATAGGCAGAAATGCAAGATACACTGTAAAACAGGCATATTATTTTAATACAAGATTGGTAACTGGTTAAAGCTACCTTACATATTCATCTGAAATTGTCAAATGTTCATGTCTTCTTTTCCCCGCTACCTACCCCAAATACATATCATAGAAAATAAAAGATGTAAGAGAGAACGTAATGAAAGAGGAAGAAGGTGAAGAAAATTGCCTTGCAGGCTAAGGAATAGTATGAAGAACATGAATAGAATTTTCGTAAAAGACAATGCTCGTGTTCAAACTGAAATTAAAATTTTTAAGAGATTATGCCAAACTCTGTAACAAGAATAGGCAGGTTTTCCCTATGATTTAAATGGGCATGGACTTTTGGACTCAGGTGCTATATTTTTAAGTCTTATTGGCAATTTTAAATCTCTTCTTACAGGTATCTTACAGGTTTTTAGAATATCAAATAAGTGCCTTACTTTGTAAAATTTCTCACCTTACCTCTTTTTTGAGGATTCTAAAAATTCTTTCCTAGAATTCTAAGAATTTATAAGAAATTTCATTCTACTAGGTAAGCATCAGTCATGCTTTTTTTCTGAAAAAAAGAAAAATCCTATATAAGATACTTCACAGTTCTGGGATGTTGTCAAAAGAATTAAAACAGAGGCAGAACAAATGCTATATATGTATATACTGCTTGGGAACAATAGAACAGATGATTCCGTTGAATATATCCCTTTGATAAGTAAGCATGCGAATGTCATTACTTTTTTTAAAAAGGTTAACGGTAGCTGCACAGGATAGTGATTTAAAAATATGTAGGTGAAAAACCGATCATTTCAACAATACTTCAAGAGAGTATGTATACACGTGCTAGACCAAACGCAGAGCAGCATGTTAGCCTGGGACTGAAATATGGGTTTGCAGTTAAGTATAAACTCAACGTTGTCATGAATAGGCTCCTTTTCTGATTTATATCTATCCCTTTTTTTGTGCATGCTTTGTCATGATAAACTGTCTCAGAACTCTTACTATGTTTATTCTTAACCTTAAAAAATATTATAATCCCATTTGGCTTTAGATATATTGAATACAGATTCTTTAATGTAAGAGATTCTCTCCTTTTAAGAAAACAACAGTATGGGTAAAATATGAGCCAAAAAGATTTTAAGATGTTAAGCCTACCTCTCTATAACATAATCCAGTAATACAAACTGAGCAGATAAAAATTAGAGTGTTTCATTTGCTTATAGCACTTAAACTAGGATAAACAACCAGATACTGATCTACAATATAACTGGTCAAAACTTCAATCCAAGTTATCTAAACTCCATCTATGAAAGATATATGGTAGGGGGTTTTCAGAGGGAAAGTTAATTTGCCTCCCTTCGCACCTCTTCATTCCCAGCCTTTCCATAGATACATGATTTCACCTACTCCTTTCAGGACCATAGGTACTATTTTTTTTTTATTCTTTCAACAGTTTCTCAAAAATTTTCCTGTGCTATCACCACAAGAGGATCAAAACAGCTAAGCAGGACCTATCTTTCACAAGCAATAAGGAAAGCAACAATGTTACAATTACAAATTAGCCCTGCTTTTATTTCATATAAACTTTAATGGTGGAATTCTTCTAGAAATAAAAGAAACAGAATGGAAAAGAAAAATGAGAACAAATGGAAGAATTACATCTAAACAGTTGGGTCAAAATACAGGAAATAAATAGGCATAAATAATTTTCTTTGAAAGTAAAATTCCATCACTCATTCACTACATGTACAGGCATTTGCAGAGAGCTATACTAATTTTATCTTTTAAAATGAGAATAAATGTCATTGTTGAACTCATTCTGTCAATTACAGGACCGTAGCAGGATTTGAGATCCACTGTTTTGTATAATATGATTGTATGACATAAAAAGTGTTTTGGCATTAAAACAGTTCCATAAAAGAAACTGAATTAAAGTGAATTTAATAAACATCCTCAGTAAAAGTAGGTGTATCCAGAAATAGCTATTATTCCATTTAATGTACGGTAAAAAAAAGTTTTAAATATTTTCAGGTTATTCTTTTTCACTGAGAGTAGCATCATCAGGACCACAGCAAAACTTAATGTCTTCTGTTTAACCTTTATCTGGGTGACCAAGATGCTCAGCTAATATAAACCAAAAAATTTCATGGATTTCAGTAAGCAGTTGTATACTAAAGATTTTTCTAGTTTATAAGAGAATAATCTAATACATACACAGACATAAACTACAAAGCCAAAAGTCTAAGCTCCTAGCTGGCTACCTGACTCTAATCACTGCTTTTCATTCGGAATATCTCTGGTCCCACTCACCCATACATGTGTATTTTTTTAATATGTAAATGCATATCAAGAACTAGATTACAAATCCTTTGCTCACACATATTGGACAATCAGGTTGATTGACTGATTTCTGGGACATTACCTGTACAGTTAGATACATTTTCCTGCAAATATGGGAATTAGGACGTGGCTCTAGCTATTCTGATTCTCCATTAACCATATTAACCTGAATGAAAACAGCTTAAATGTCTATTGATATCTTGAATTGTAATCAGTATTGTATAAACATTTTGGCTTCCTTAAGCCAAAGGTATCAGTCCTTAAGGTATCAATTTTTAGGGCTTTTTCTTCATTTAAAATAGTAGGCAAAAATAATAGAACCTTTTATATTTCATCTTGCGATTGGTTCTAAACTGCCCTATCACTAGAAACCATCTAATGGAAAAGAATAAATGAATTTTCCTTAAAATACCAAAATTAAAGTTGAATGATACAACAGAACTTTGGGGGGGCTACTGCTGACTTATCTTGCAAAGTTGTATAGTTAACACAAGCTATATAGCTAATGCTGCAACTGATTTTTTGACCATTGAAAATACAGATTGCTTTTTTAAAATGGAGGCAAATTTACCTTAATATCAAAAGCTCCTGGTTGACCCACTTGATTATAAAGTTCCAGCTGGTTCTTGACAGGTGTTACCCACAGTATCAGCTGATTTAACTGATGCTCAAGTTGGATGAAATCCTTTAGCAGAATCTCTATTTCTTTTTGTTTCTCTGGAAGATCTTTGGACACCTGAAAAAATACCAGAAGGTGGTTTTGTGAGGGATAAAAGGGCAACATAAAGCAATTTCACACCGCATACATAAACATATACATAAAACATTAAGAAAACATAAATAAATATTAGACACTGATAGGAAGAAGGGATAGAGGGAGAGTAGAAACGCCAATCAAATGATGATGACAAGTTTCTTCCAAATCTGTCACAATACTCTCTTTCCTCAAAAACGGTATCAGACTTCTCATTTTTTGATTATTCTGCTGTTTTACTGGTGGTACATAAAAAGTTTGTTTCCTCAGTATGTGAAACAGCATTAACTTTCAATTTTTAATCAGGGGGAGCAATAGCAAATATGAAAATGTGAAATTAATCATTTGAATGATATCTAAACTCTCTTGACCTCGTGAATCTGAAAACTCATAAGCATGTGGTTTCTTATAGGGTGTTTAGAGTTGCCAGTTGAGTGGATGAGCAGATGCATACAGTCAAGAAAAAACAACGAAGAAATGTATCTTCAATAGTGATCGGTGCACTTGGTTCTCTCATTTGCATTCAAAGCACTCAGATTTTAAGCAAACACATTCTTCTGTGTCAACAGTATTAGGAATTAAGACTCAGTGAATGACACAGTACAAGTCCAGCAGCACTGAAGCATCTGGAGTAAACACAAGAACAGTCTGGAAATGAATAAGCCAGCCCAGAGTTCCATGTCCTCGCTACACTGTTTGCTACAGCTAGAGAGGTGAGATGTCACTACACTGCACTACAGGCAACACAATAAACCTATATTAGGGGAAAAAACATATTTTACTTAAAAAAAAAAAACACAACAGCAAATATAAGGGCTGGGCAGGCATAGGAAAATACAGCAATTAATTACCAAAATTAGCCTAGAAGTCTGATTAGAGAAACCTCGTTTTCTTAGTGTGGAAAGCTATGTTCATTGCTTCTAAGCGCGTATTTTTACTGAAACACCTCTTTTAAAAGTACCAAAACATGGATATGATAATGACATGTTTCTGATAAACACAATAAATGTAAATTCCCTGTGGAGTTAAACTGTATTAAGTATTGCTATCATACTGCCTGGCTACAAACTATTACTGATGTGTACTAACTTCCAATCCCTAATGACACTATTTACACAAGACAATGAATCTAAATCCACTAGAGAAAGTAAAGCAATGAAGGTTTCTAAAAAAAAAAAAAAAAAGCTGAGCGAATGGGGAAAAATGTCATGATACATAAGTTTCTTCACAAATTCTGCTTGAAAATACTGATTTGTTGGTATTAAAATAGCCCATATATATGTATTCTAAATAGGACTTAGGACTTATTAGACCATACTTAAATGATCATTCATGATCTCGATTTGCCATACATTAAATGATTTTCATTGTTCAACGTAGCCACCCCTTAATATCCTATCTAATAAAAACAGACCAGTAAGTCAAATCACTTTTTGTATTTTCTTAATCTTCTTAAATAAAATAAAAACTCTGCTCTTCCAAAATGGCACCTGATGTGAAAGAAAAACTGCAATTAAAAATGCATTTATTTCCCTTATGTGTGAACCTCTGTGCAGACCTTGGCCTAATTTCACAGAAGATCAGTTTCATCTTTCTTACAACTTTTGAATGTTAATCTCTAATGTTTAGTAGCTTTAATATTAACATAAACAAATTCCACACAAATACTGTTGAAAGTAAATAGGTAATCATAGGGTAGAAATAATAAAAATCCAAGCTGCCTTCTGAAGGCTTGAAAATCATACTAATCTGGTTCCAAATTAACATTTATCAAACATATTGGTTGTATCAGAAGACAGACAAATATAAATTTGGAAAGCTTTTTTGAAAGAAGAAAAATGTAACTGATTACATATGAAGATATATTCAAACCATAAACGCAGAAGATAAGAAGAGTTTTTGATGACTGACTGTACTTCAACCTGTTATTTTCAAAAATAATCACACAAAAAAGAAAGTTAAAAAAACCCTACCCACAGTACGAAATCAATTGTGATATAAGTAAATGAAGCCTCTTATCATAAGAAAGTTGGCTCTTGGGCTAAAAATGTAGCAGAAACATATTACAATACTTCAGAAGTAATAAAAAAATCTGGATTAATATAAATCAGCTTATCTCATAAAGAAATTTAATGTCATCATCTTTTACCATAGCGATAAAAGAGGAAAAACACTACACAAACACGTAAGCAAAGCACTTCCTCAAAGTCGAAAGGTTAGAGCTCCGGATAAGCACGTAAGAACTGGATTTTGACCAGATGTTAACAAGGAAACACCTTGTAAGATCCAGGTAACATGTTACGTGCTATTGTGCAGAAAACACAGATTCTTAGATTCTGGATCTCAGGGATATTTTCTGTTTGCTTATTTGTTTTTAAATTCTTTCAAGTTGGCTGATCAAACTACAATCTGATGAGATTAAAGGAATTACAGGTCGTCTTATCAAGCCACGGTACTGCTGCAGACTGTCTCTAGTGGGACAGTTTGTTTGCTGTGCTAAATCTACAGCACATCAGAAACATAACACGGGAGATCCTCCATGAAGTAATGGACAAGACATGTTCATCGGGTCTCCTGCTTTGTGCCCCTCTGGTGCAGAGGAGAACACAGGCACACGTGGAGATGGGGTGCACCAGGCCACGTTCCCCCTCCAGCCCCTTTAGAATCTTCCCTACTTTTTTACTTACAGTCTTTCCATCCCAAATCCCATCAATAATGGGAACTCCTTGACAAGCTTCTCCAAGCCCTGGAGAAGATTATTCACAGCTCCAGAAGGAGTCCCACCCCTCAGATGGGATCCTGAAGCCAGTGGGACCTATCGCCAATTCATTGTCCTCTCCAGTCTCTGGGCTCTTTCTCCTGGTTCCTTAGATGCCTCCAGGGAAGTGGGAGCACAGACTAGGGTCCCACTCCAGTTCTCTTTTTCACATTTCTGACTTTTTGGCCCCTTTCTCCCCCATTCAGCTTTTTCGCAATTGTCGTCTCAGGAAATCATTTGGTGTTTACCAAGTTTGATCTCCTTTAGCATCTTCTCTCCTTCCTTTCCATTGTAGAAAAGGTTATCAGGTTTTATCAGAGAACAGTTGATGCCCTTTCCTAATGGAAAAAACTGAAGTAAACACTAGCCCTAAGCTGACACCTGCTGGAGAGTAAAAACAGGGCAACAAATAAATACTTTCTCCCAAATCCACCCAAGTCTCAATATAAGTCTGATGAAAGTAAAGAGAGTTACAAACTGACAAGAAAGATAGGGTTCAAAAGAAAAAAATTAGAAGAAAGAACAATTCTAATTGGAATACCTTTCTAAAATCCAGCTTTTTCCTTTGCACGTGCCTGAACACTTTTTACTTTGTTTTGTTTCATATCAGCACTGAAAACATACCTTGGTTTGCAACCAAGGAAAAAGTAAATTTGAAAATAGAAATAACAACAAGAGTAGGGATTATTCCTTCAAAGAAAAAATTCTGAGTTCAGTATCAAAGGACTATATAATTTCAATGGTATGTGTCAAAACATTAATCTTTGAGCATGTGATGCATCTAAAATTTTGTACTTTAGTTCAAGTGTTAATTAAGTTAGACTAATTGGGAGCTTAGTAACTGAAAAGATTCAAGCTCTATATTGGGAAACAGCAGATCTTAATTTTACAAACTGACACAGATCTTCACAATACTTACTATTCTAATCTTAAAATGCTAGACCTTTTCTGAGTTATTTAGTTCTATGTGCTGTTCATTTTTACTTTTTTAATTAAAATACTTTAAAAATACAAATAAAATAACAGCAGAAAAATGGTAAAATAACTTTGCAAACACAAGCCCTGTGAAATTTGAATAACTGCCTTGTTTCAAAGTCTAGGTCTTTATCTACTTATTTTCATTACTTCGCCTTATAAATTCTAAAAGTATTTCCAGTGTTTTTTTCTGTTCCATTAGAACTGCATGCCTTGGATGACCCTCCTTCACAAGAAGCCTGAATGATCCACTATTAGGTTCTCTCCACTTCTACCCCGATATGACACTCTGGTGTAAAACCGTACAATTGCTCAGTTTGACCACCTGCATCTCCTCAATCACAGAATCACAAAGAATGGTCTAGGTTGGAAGGGACCTCTGGAGATCCTCTAGTCCAACCTCCCTGCTCAAGCAGGGTCCTCTAGAGCATATTGCCCAAGGATCACATCCAGGCGGGTTTTGAATATCTCCAGTGAAGGAGACTCCACTACCTCTCTGGGCAACCTGTTCCAATGCTCTGTCACCCTCACAGTGAAGTTCTTCCTCAGGTTTAGGTGGAAATTCCTGTGGTTCAGTTTCTGCCCGTTGCCTCTTGTCCTGTTGCTGGCCCCCACGGAGAAGAGGCTGGCCCCATCCTCTTGACGCTCCCCCTTCAGATACTTGTACACGTTGATGAGATCCCCTCTCAATCTTCTCTTCTCCAGGCTCAACAGGCCCAGCTCTCTCAAGTCTTTCCTACCATATGAGATGCTCCAGCCCCCTCATCATCTTTGTAGCCCTCCGCTGGACTCTCTCCAGCAGCGCCATGTCTCTCTTGTCCTGGGGAGCCCAGAACTGGACACAGTACTCCAGGCGAGGCCTCACCAGGGCTGAG